TCGTTAGTAGAGGCGTTCGTATCCCGAGGCACCACTGTATAAACATTTTTATTATCTCTAATCAACCTTAGAACCAGATTCTTCTAATTGTCTCACATTTTTACAGAAATACTAGCTTCAATATACATACACACACACACATTCTGAGCACTTTAATAGTAATTACAATACCAATCTACTTAAAGCTATGGAGATGAAAATCAGTTTGTGTAATGTTGCTGCGTATGGTATAATTTTTATAGTTCAATAATATTGTGAGATTTATAAATTTATGTCAAATCACTCGTTTTATTTTTTTGGAAGAAAATAGCATAGCTGCAGCTCATGAAAAAATTGCTGAGTGCAAGAAGCAAATTCTTCAAGCGAAAAGAATACGAAAAAATCGCCAAGGTAAGGTTTACTTTGCAGTTGAGAAATTATATGAAGTTACATACCACACTTGTGATTGTGCTTGTTACAAGAGTTTTAAATTACCAGGATTATTTTTAGTTCTTGCAAAAAAGCCCAGTTTGTTAATTCTTCACAAGATGTAATTTTACAAATAAAATGCCAAATACACTATTGAGCATGCAAAATTAAACAAGCCCAAGATATTATAACAGAGCAAGCCACAAATTTGGGTATGCTTGTCAAAAGAAATAATTGGAAAAGTATCTTCCTAGGTTGCCATGGATAGAATAGTTCTTTTTGAACTTTAACTTTCAAATGATTCTAGGCATACTCAATCAGATTTGTTGACTTGGGAGTGTATGCTTCTACATTTAGTCAGATTCTGAATCCTTTGAAGAACCTGTTCACATATAACAATCTCTAAAGAGTTTATATTGTCAACGATCACTGAAATCAATAATACTTCTTTTTAGCAGATGGAATTCCATGTCCTCTTAAAAGAGATTGTGAGACCTTTGTTTTAAAAAAATTGTGGATCTAGCCTATATTAATAACTATTAGCCAATGTTCATTATTCTGTATTTCACCAAACTGATGGAGAAGGCAGTGCCGCTGAAGCTCCAGGAACTCTTAGATGAAACAGACTATCTTGATTCAGTTTAGACATGGATATGGCAAGGAGGTGGTTTTGGTCTCCAAAAGAGGACAAAAAGAGTATGACCTTATTGATGTGCTTTGATCTCTCAGTGGCTTTTGATACTTCTGACCACAGTATCTTGTTGGAATGCTTGAGGGACCAAAAGGGAAGGGGCAGAGGTGCTCTTTTGATATTTCCACTGCTACTTCTTCATGTGCTACTTAGATAATGATAGTTAGAGATATCTACTTGATCCCCTGGGAACTTTTTGTGGGTCCCACAAGATTTTAGCTTGTCTCCCACATTATTTAATTTTTATATGAAATCTCTAGGAAGTGTCATACAAGCTTGGGGTTGGATGTAACCTAGACTTTTGAATATCTCCAGGCTGTAAGCAACAGTGAGTGGTGAAACAGGGTGAAGGTTAATCTGGACAAGGTGGAGTTGCTATGGATTGCAGCAGCTGAACAACAGAATTAAAGAAACATTCCTCTTCTGAGGGAATTATATTCTCTTTTAAGGATCAGATTTATAGTTTGTGGTCCTCTTGGACCTAGCATTGATGCTGGAGAGCTATGTAACATCAGTAACAAGGAACGTGTTTTACCAGTTTCTTCTGATAAACCAACTGCATCTCTCTCTGGAAGAAAAAGTACTGGCTTCAGTGACTCTTGTGTCAATAATCTCAAACTTGGATTATTGTAATGTGCTTTTTGGGGTGCAGTTCTTGGAGACAATTCAAAAATTTCACTTGAACCAGAAAGTGGCAGTACCTGTGGTGCCACCCAGAGGTTCCATTTTTAATCTTGTTTGTTATTCTGCCATTCAGGTAAATAGTGCTTATGTTAAAACATAGCTGTTCTGTGAGAGTTAAGACATGTCCTAATGGTGATATGGAACCCCTAATTGTAAGCAAATGGAGTGGGAATACATAAGAGGGTTTGGGACATTTCCCTCCCATCCTCCCTTTAGAGGAAATTTGTGTTCAAAAGGGAAACTGGTAAAGAGGTGGGCAAGCCATTTTAACCTGGGGAAAGACTAAGATGTGGGTAGGTCTTCTTTATAGTGAATTTAAGGGAAGCAACAAAATATTTTGAATTTGAAACACCTAATTTCCTGTTTTGAGCTTAGAATACTTCCAGTAAGGCCGTAACAGCCTCAGAACACTTCCGATGAGGTCAGGACAGCCTGTTCCCCATTGATTTTTGAAAAGTCTTTATATTGCAAAAATGGGAAGATGATGCAATATGTTTCTATACGGTCCAGATTTAATAGTATATTAAAGGATTGACTTAGTTCCACATTAATAATATATAGATCACTCTTTTTCTAACATTTTAGTTCACTTTATTGATTATTATATACTAATTTCTTTTTTGATTATATAGACAGTGTTGTATTTTTCCTTTTGTTTTATTATATTTTAGTGGTTTATAATTCACCAAAAATATTGATAAACATAGAACAAGAAATAGAAAGGACTGTATTTCAGATTTGAGTTGTTCTGCACACCTCTAATGGAACAAGCTAAACATACATACTTTAAAATTATTTGAATTATAAATTTCTTTCTTTGTGGTATTGAAGCAATGTGGACTATGGTCCGTATTTTGTTCTTTTCAGAATATGATGCCTTGGCTAAAGTAATACAGCATCATCCAGATAGACATGAAACATTGAAGTAAGTATGAAATGAATTCAAGTAGTATATATATACACTACAGATTACTGATATCAAAATAATGTGGCATTTTTTTTATCAGTCCATCATCAACATTCATATAAAAGATTTGAACATTTGTATAATATAATATATTGGCTAAGATGTGCTTGAGTGGGAATACTCTAATCTAGGTCTCCACAGAGAGATCTAATTTTGGGGCAGTGGTTCTCTATCAGCCCAACCTCTTCTTACAAGATTGGTAAGACTTGATTATAGTTATCCATGGGCTGGTAGTATGCCAATTAACAGTACGTAGGCCATGTTTTTGGAAACATAACAGAAACTGCAGTATGGAATAGTTTTGCTAGTCTTGAAATATGGGCTTTGCACTGAGTTCATTGCCAGGCACAATTGAAAGTGCTACTTTAACCTTTTAAGCCCTCAATGAACCTTTCAAATAAATTGCTTTTGCACAAACCTGAATTACAATAATCTTTCTGGATTCTTCTGCCATCAAAGGTGAGACGGGGCATCCTCAACTGAGGTACCCTGGCTTTGGAATGTTGTTTTCCGAAGTTTCTAGAAGAAAATAAGGCAAGTTGCTTTCTTTTCAGTGCCTTTTTATTTGTGCAGGCATTTTCATACTTGGTTTATGGTATTTTACTGCTAAAAGACTGTTCTATCTATTTTAGATTCTGTTAATTGGTTTAAATCAGCATTTCATTATTATTTGTAAATTAGCTACTTAGGGAATTTTGAACAGTTGAAGAGTTCAATAAAAATGATTAAAATAAAATAACTGAAGGTACTATGTGTTAAGTGACAATGCACTTAATATGTTCTCAGGCAATTGGAAGCTCTGGGGAAAGAACTCCAGCATCTTTCTCATATCAAGGAAAATGTTGAAGACAAAGTAAGTTTTTCTCACAGGCTTATAGATTCAGAATAGAGAGTCTTTTTAAAAAGCCCATATTCTTCATTATTTCCTTTCTGTGCTTTAGCTGGAGTTGAGACGAAAGCAATTTCACGTTCTTCTGAGCACCATCCATGAGCTTCAGCAAACATTGGAAAGTAAGTTATTCTAGTACATAAGAACATGACAGTTTTCCTCAGCTTCCCTCTCTTTTATGTTTGCTTGACCCTCAAAATTTTCATTGGCCCATAGGTATGTGTTCTACCTTGGCACCTTACTAAATGTCATATTGGGGCAATTCTTTATTAGAGACCAGTTCAAGGTCACAAAGTATTGTTCTAGCTTTCAAATTACCCACAGCTCTTAATCAGGCTAAGTAAACTAAGCAAAAAACCCAAAATATGAGATTGGGGAGAAGAGAAGAAATGGGTGATGTTTTTCCTAGTAGTATCTCTACATAAGTAGTCATTCCATTATTAGTATTTTAAATAAAAATATTTATTTCAGATGATGAGAAGCTTTCAGAAGCTGAAGAATCATCAGATACTCCAATGGAAGCAGAAGATAAACAATAGATGTATATAACTCAGAAGCCTGGTAATTCATTTTTGTGAAGCTGATTAATAACTAGGGTTTTGAATTAATTTTGTATATTATTTTTTGTCTAAAGTAACTAAATTATGTTTGAGTGAATTTTCATGTTTTCTGTACAATAAATAGTTGAAATTACATAACAAAGTAATTTAGTTTTGGATTAATGTTCTGGAATTAAGCTACCAATTATATGGTAAGATATTACATTAAAAAAAAGTCAGAGATAATTTAAAATTCTAACAATGGACAAGTGAATACTCTTGTATTCTGAACCCAGAACTTGCTACACTGAAAATGTGACTTGTATAATAACATGAGTTCTTAAATTACATTTATTGTCTCAGTTTATTAGCAATAACATCTACTTGGAAAACACGTTTTTTCAAAAGGGATTATTTTTGTAGTCCTTAAGAGATCGTCTGGAACACCTTAGAGGAGTAGAATATTCTGATTTCCAAAAATTTATGTTATTGCAATTCTGCACTTCTCAGAGCCATTGACTACACTGATTTTTCAGTGATACTATCCAGGAGGTTAACTACTTTTACACATATGAAAAATGCAGAGTATAATAAAATAAAATTAATTATGAGAATAAAGGGAAAGATTAAAAAGTTGAGTCACTTAGGTCTGTTTTGCTTTGTGTTTTTAAGAAAACAATGCAGCATAGAAACAATTTATAGTGGCAATTTTATGTAATAGATGCTTATCTCTGTTAGATAGTACTGAGTTGGATTTCCTTATTCAAATTTTAGTCATTGTGAATTCGCTTATTTTGCCTTTTTTTTTTTTTTTTTGAGAAGTACTTTCCCCATGATAGAATATAATGTGGGAGGCCATAAGACCTGGCAACTCAATCTTTTGTGTATGAGTTCCCAGATTTGATGTCTGCAAGCAGTACTTCTAGGAAGAGTACCCTGCCCATTCTTTTACAATTCACAGGAAGGGAAAGGAGAGAGAACAAAGGAATAATACATTGCCTTTGTCTCTAGTCTTATCTCCATTAAGGAACAGGATCTTCAACCACCGCCACCACCACAATAAATCCTCCTGTGAATTGAAGGATTTTCAGTTGCAAGTCTGAGAATCAACTGGCTGGGCTAAGCAGGATGACCAAATTGCAGCATTCTGAATGCTGATGTGTGGCATCCCAACCACAGATCAAGAATAAGATTTCCTTCATTATCTATAGTGATTTCAAACTACTGTACGTTATAAATGAATGGGCATTTGTGATGAACAAATGTAATGTTTTTTTGCCTTATTTTTTTAATTGGGTTCTCTTAATCTAGTTTTAGGACTTGTGTAGAGAACAGATCACATTTTAAGTCATATTTATGCAAAAATATTGAAAATTCAAAAGGGTTCCCAAACTTTTCAGCACCACTGTATATCTCATGGAATAGTTCCCAAGTGGGGAACTCAGAGAGAATAACATATCTTGCGTATTCCAAAGGAGTCCCAGATTATCCCAACATAAACTTAATGTGTGGAGTGAGCCCTAACCCTGCTGATTTGTGGGCATCATGAAAAGTACGGCTGTTTGTTGACTTTATATGGTCCTTCGTTCCAAAGGAAGGGTGCTGTCTCAGCTGCCAAACTGATTGGCCGTATGGAACGGTGAGGAAGAGATATTTACTGGTTTTGTCTTGGAGAGCAAAATGCCGTGGGCTGCCCTACCAGCTCTTGAACAGGTTACGCTGCAGCAAGCTCTCCCAAATTGTGCTGGATTCACTTCAAAGGAATGTGTTTAGCACTTGGATAACAAGCAGTGCAGGATTAGTTGATACGTAGATGGAAGATTTGCATGGAATTACAATAAAAAGACAAAGGTGGGTGGTGCATGATATAATTAAGTCATATATTGTTTTGGATTTGCTGCATTTTAAGCTTCACGACTCTTATATCTGATGGTATACTTTTTTCTTTTTGAGCAAGGAGAAGACTTTCTTTTCTGCCTGTTAACATAACGGGACAAAATCTCAAACAAGCACAATGCTCGGTCATCCACATGAGCAGGGCTTCCCATTTACTTCAATAAGAAAAGAAATGTGCTATGTACCTGGAGGTAGTGACTGCACTCACTCATTGTGCTAAGCCTAGTTTAGCTTAGCCATAGTTTATTTTTCAAAAACAGCCATAATAGACTTGATTAACTTAACATGCCCAGCCAACTTCCCTTCCCCCCAAGATACAGTAATGGTTTAGTGTTATGTGTGAACGTAGTATCTGTTCAGACACAGGTTTCACTGTCTTGTAATTGGGGAAACTTTTTCATGTAGTTTCATATATTCAAGTCTATTGTGTGGATTGAGCTATATACTGTAACCTTTTTCTGCTAAGGACTACATTCTTTCAGAGATAGCCCATCAGAGATAGTAAATAGGTGAAGAGAGCAGGGTTTGCAATATTGCAGGATTGTATAACCCTCCTCCTTCTGCAATTCCATCTCTGTCCAAACCTTCCTTCCTTCCTTGTGTTGCCGTCCCTCCTTTAGGGATGATGAAATCCAAATCACATAGTATACTAAGCAAGAAGTGTATGCAATTTTCAGATTCCAGGTAATGAAGTCCTAGTGTATAGTTTTCTCCCCACCCCACCCCCCATACATTTATTTACTGAAGAAGTCAAAACTGCCTTTAAAGGTGTAAAGGTCCTCTTAGTTGTAAAACCAGATGATATATAGAAACAGCAAACAATTATAACTGAAGATAAACATTCTGCATGTAAAGATTAGGTTAAAACATTGTTGCAAGGTGGAGTAAGAAGTTAAATTTGCAAATTCTTGTATGCATATAAGTTAAAAGGGAAGGCCTAAAAATACACTTGTAGAGGTAGTATATCTAGGGCCAAACAATTGCAAACATCCAACAGACTCATGCTTAAGTAGATTTATTCTCACCTTGATCCAGCAAAACAATGTGATTTTGAATTTTCAAATACCTTATACAAGTACTTGAATGAAATATATTTGGTTATATCATTATTGTACACTACCCTATAATATAACAACTTTAATAAATAAAAACACATTTTTCGTAAATTGGGGATATTTATTCTTGCTATATTGCATCTACAAGCAAATAAAAAAACATAAAAATTAGTTTGAGTACAGACCAGCAGAGGGCTGCCACAACCAAGCTTTCAATCATTCAGTAGCTGCAGTATTTAAAATTGGAAGAAGATCTCAAAGAGAATTTCTGAAGATAATTTCATAAAAATTAAGCTTCCCTTTAATTTTAAGACCTGCCACACTGTAACTGTCTTTGCTTTATTAACTCTCCCTGCCCCCAGGTCAAGTTCCTGTACAAAAGAGCATATAACAAGCCCTAAGATGTTTCCATCATGATAACCTTTACAGTTTTCTATTTAGGAAAACAGCTGCTAAATTGTCACTTAGATAAAACATTCTTGAAACAAAAATTGTGCAACCAGATGATTATAAATTGCTCTCTTCTGTATCTTCTAAAGTACCATTACGATAACATTTTTAGAAAAAAAATCTATTTAACGTGCAGTGATCAACATAACAAAATAAAATACACAAAAGCAAATACAATTAATTATGTGTCATCAAGTGGGTGTTAACTCTTAGCGACCACATAGATAGTTTTTCTCCAGGATAATCTCTCCCCAACCTAGTCCTTCAGGTCTTCCAACAATGCACCCATGCTGCTGCAATTGAGTCCATCCACCTTCCTGATGGTCAACCTTTTACCTCTTTCCTTCCACCTTTCCCAGCATTATAGGCTACTCAAAGAAGCTGGGACTTTGCATAATGTGTCCAAAATGTGTTAATTTGAGTCTGGTCATTTGTGCCTCAAATGAGAACTCTAGATTGATGTGTTCTGTGATCTGTTTATTTTCCTAGCTATCCATGGTATGCATAAGAGTGCTCTCCAACACTTTGAAAGCATTGGTATTCTTTCTATCCTGCTTCTTTGAAGTCCAACTTTCACTTCTGTGGAGTTTCACAGGGAAAATCATTACCTGCATAATTCTGAATTTTGTAGGCATAGACTCATCACAGCATCTGAATAGCTTTTCCAAGGCCATCATGCTGTTCTGCAGTGTATTTCTTGTCTGTGGGTTCCTTTACTGTTGCTAATTGAACTGAAAAGACAGAAACTATCCAGCACTTCAATATCTTTATTTTCAGCTTTAAGGCTGGTTATTGTACTTGTCATTAGTACAATATTTTTTTAAGAAATTGTTTTAAAACATTTGGACATTGTTATAATTAATCTTAGTCCCATTTTTTTCACTGTGCTTTTGACTTTCATTATTACAGCTTGCAGATTATTTGCATTTTCAGCTATCGGAGTAGTGTCATCAGCATAGCACAAGTTATTGATGTTTCTTCCTCTGGTTTAAAACCAATCCAGCTCCCCTCAATATATATTCACCATATAGATTGAATAAATAAGGGGAGAATATAAATCTTTATCTCCCTCCTTTGCCAATCTGGAGCCCGTCTGTTTCACCATGTTGTGTCCATGCCATGCTTCCTGATCTGTATATAGATTTTGCATGAGGACCATGTGATGTTTTGGGATTCCCATTATCCTATGGATATTCCACAGCTTGCCATGATTGACACAGTTAAAGGCCTTTCTGTAGCACAGTATGAAGCACATACTGACTTCTTGTTTATATTCCTTGGCTTTCTCAATTACGCAGTTTGCATAATGCCTCTTCGTTCCTTGGTCTCAAGATGCCTTGAACAACCAGCATCTCCCTTTCTATTTGGATGAAACTAACTAGTATTTTCCTAGGATGTGAAATGAAGTATATTATACAATAGTTGAACACAAGTCTCTCTTTTCTTTGGTATTAGTATGTAGACTGACCTCTTCCACTGTGTTATTTTCCAGATTTGCTGATATAGTCTGGTTAGAACCTTTAACTGATTATTCTTCTGGTGCTTGCCATATTTCTGTAGATATTCCATCAATTCTTGCAGTCTTCTGACTTGGTAATGACCAGAGTGCTAATCTAACTTCATCTTCTATCGCTAAAGGCTCTCCTAAATATGGAGTATTTTCTAAGATACCTTGGATGTTAATATCTCTGAAGAATTTCAGTGTACTCCTTCCATCTTTGTTTGATTCTATTTGAATCATTTATTGTCTATCCATTAGCATCATTTAGCATACCAATTGAAAGTTGGAATCTCTTTCTGAGTTCAGAGATCTTTCAGATCTTCCTTGTTTGTGTGTGTGTGTGTGTGTGTGTGTTTCCATGTTTGATGTCCTTACAAATGTCATTTGTATCAATTGATTTCATTCCATAGTTCCTCTGGTTTCTTATCATTAAGGTTCAGGACTTTGAATGTTTTCCTTGAAAATGGTAGGTATTTCCTCAAGATCGATCTTTCTTATTTATTCATTTGATATAAAAGCATTTATAATACTGCTTTTTATTTCTTCCAACAGCTTTGTGAAATTCTTTGTTATGGTTTTTTTCCCCTCAGATCTTTGTCTTTCTTAGCTCTGGTTTCTCTTCTTGGCAATTTCATTTGTTCTGACATCCAGTTTACTTCTGTTTCTTGGTCTTTGACAGTGTCTGTTGACATTAATCCTTGACAACCTCTTTGA